GGGGAACCTCACCCCAACCCTGGTAGGCAAGATTGGCTGCGGGGGACCTATCATTTAACAATAAAAAGACTATTCACATTACTTTCCCCTTGGTCTGAGTTCCTGGGGTTCTGTGAGAAATCAAGTGTTTTAGGGAGTTCAATTTAACTTAATACAGTCACTCTTTCCTCCAACACTTTCTGACCACAAGCTTCTTCTGGGGAGACTGCACAAGGGGTGCCCCCAACTACCACCACCAGTGACCTTCAGGAAGGGAACACATTGTAAGGAGAAGCTAGCCAGAGACTTCAGAAAAAGCAGCAGCGTCAGCAGCTGTCAGACTGATGCTACCAAGCTTCTTTTGACAGTGGGCTTGGGGCATTCTCCATGCGTATGGTTCATTTACCCCATCCCCTCTTGTCCACTTCCAGTCTCTCCCCAGGCCCTTCATACTTCCTTCTTTTCTTCTTCCCAGACCTTATCCTCTTCCTGTAAGAGTCCCCTGAAGTTATCTTTATTTAAATAAGCCACCCTCTTAACGAAATCCTACCCCAACACATTTGAACATAGCTCCATGCCCACCCATACAACCCTATGGCACTAATGTGCCACTTTTAATTTGCTTGCTCCTCTGTTTTAGTGGCGTAGTACTTTTCCTCCACCCTTTGACTCACTAAGCTTGTACATAAAAATGCCTCAAAGAAAAATCTAGGGTTCTGAAAACATGCAAAACTCAAGCTGGGTTCCAACAGAAACTGGCCTGGTTTCCTGTGTGCAATGTGCTGCCACCCACCTTTACACTCAGAAAGAGAGAGCCACCTGTTCCCACCCTCATACCCACTTTGTTTCAGGACTGCTTTCTGTGACCACACTCCCACTTACCCCACTGACTTTTGTATTTGTTTCCTCCCTTTCCCACTCAATCCACAGGCTCAGCAATGGCTTTGCTAGGAATTTGTAACTCCACACATGAAACCTTCAGTGGAAGAGACTTCTTGGGCCAGATCCTTAAGCTGTTGAAATTGGCATCACTTCACGACTTCAGAAATGTCAATTTATGCCAGCTGACAGTTTGGTCCCCTACGCATCTCACTAAGTCTCCAACTCTCCTCAAATCTCAGCTGAAGGTGCTGAGGGTCTCTCTAGCCTGTATCTCAAAAACTGTTTTTTACAGTTTGCTACTATGGCTAAAATTATACTAACATTTGACATTTCTGTTATATAAAATGAAATTCAACTGGTTTTAGATTTGGTGGGTTCTCTATATTATGCCCAAACATGCAGATTTTTTTTTAAAGGTGGTGTTGACTGTTAAACACTGGTGACATTAGACAAAAGTGTAGCAGCTTTTTAGGGACACAAGTTATACCAGTAATCAGAAACTGGTTTAAATCTGTAACAGAACAGGAGTTCAAGTGGGCCACAAAAAATAAAAGTTTGAGAACCACCGTCTTAGACAATGGAACTAATAAGAGAAATATTAAATGGACCCACATTTATTTTTTGAATCTTTTTTTTCTTTCTTTTTTTTCATTTTCAAAAACCTATTTCTAAATACCTGAGTTGTCCTTTAAAAAATCCTTAATAGGAGTTTCAGGAGTTTAAGAAACGTTTTACTATCATCTAAAACTATTTTCAAATATTTTTTTTTAGCTGTCTTGTTTTTTCTTTTTATCAGCTGCTAAAAAGAAAAAAAAAGTTCAGTATATGTTAGGAAGCGTAATCAGACTTTCTCTTGGCAAAAACAACATTTGTAGTGAATAGGTTTTAAATCTCTCAGGAACTAATTGATAAATGCTTATAGGGCTTTAAGACTAAATATTGTGCCCAAATACACCATGCCTTGAGAAGCTACTGTTTTCAAAGATTCATACAGCAGTGATTCCATGAAACATCCTGTCCACACACCAGTAGTCATCAGGAATATAAACTTTAGCATCTAAAAAGGTAGTTTGTTCTTTTATCTGCATCAATAGGTAATCCTAGTAGCAGTAGCTTTGTTATAGCTTTTATGTGGAGAAGACTACTTGCCACCAAGTTTTTAGCCACTTCATGCAGGTTAGCTAATAACTTAGTAAACATTTTAAACTATGGGAAATATATAGGGTAGAAAGTGAAATAATAATTAATATTATGGTCTATCTGGGTTTACAGTTTCCATAATTTGTCTGGAGTTACCAGCCTACCAAGTATCCCATCTGGTTCTGTGGCCTATAATAAAAAGAAGTCCACGTACAGATGAAAATACTGCTGACTGCTTACCTTGTTGAACTGGAGAATAGGCATTAGTGAGAAAACGAAAATGCCCTTTGTTATACCAGCAGATTAGGGACATGTTTCCCTTCATCTTTATTCTGTACTGTCCTCTGGACTGGGGAGCATCTGGGTTATTCAGCATGGATGGAGGTAGGCCTGTGCAGTCACTCTTCCTGGAGCTCAGCAACCCGCAGCAATAAATCTCTGCATATGAAAGAGAAATTCCATTAGCAACTCATCCTGTGGATACACAGAAAAAAAGATGGTGGGGCTGTCTGATCTAGCTTTTCAGGAAAGGTCTTTCTCTAGTAAGCTAAGATAGCAGAAATGTAGTTTGGCTAAAATGTTTTTTTCTAACATCCAAGAACTGTTGTTGTTTTTCCTTATAAAGTCCAGTAAGTTCATGAGGCCAGTTCTCAAGATGAACACTTAATATGATGCGAAGGAGAATTCAGCCTGAACATCTGAAATCTTCCAAAGAGTAAGATCAAGTAGGATAACGCAATATCTTTCCAGAACAGAGACCTTGTTGGTTGGGTTTCTTAACAAGACTGAATAAAGGAATGGAAAAAATGCTGCAGGGAGCCTTTATGGACTAGTGACTTAATCAGTCTCTTTCATGTTTGAGATAATAAAGTGTGAGGAAGGCAGAAAAAGCCTGTGGCTTCTGAGATGCCAAGGCGCGGGTGAGTTTTCATAAATGGCTCCCATGACACCTTTTTAATTCTACAGCATCCAGCTGACAGCTTCTGGTGCCAGCAGCTGACAAGTCAGCCACCAGCAGCCGACCAGTAAAAACCCTGCTCATCCCCCTGGTCATCTCTCCACCTCCAATGTTTATTTTATGAAAAAGGGAGCAATAAGGAAATTTAACCTCTCAGTGGGCACATCTACACATTCATTAATGTGCAGTGGTTACTGCGCATTTAATTTAGTACTTGTATAATCAAGTACTAAATAAATGCTCAGTAACCTGAGGTACTGTGCAGTAGTGCCAGTGAATGCCTTTTTAGTGACAGTACTGTGCAGTAGCCTAATACTACTGTGCAGGACTGTATTAGCACTATTGGTGCTGTGATGTGCTACTGCACAGTAGTATTAGGCTACTGTGCAGTTAGTGTCTCATGTAGACATGCCCTCTAGCAATTGAACTAGTCTGGTTGGAATAACAGAGCCATTTAACTCATGTTACTGAAAACCAGACCCGACTTGCATTATGCATGTCTATGTGGTAAGAAATACCAGTGAGTTATTTCTATTAATCTGAATCAAGTAATGTAATTCTTATGCAAAGAAATTCAAGAAATCTTAAAAGGAAGTCTCCTCATGGTCTCCAAAGGTTTTATTTCAATCAACTGAAGGGAATGAGTGTGTATGCAACCATGTATACTCACAGTGAAGTACTTATTATGCCAGAGTTCTCCATTGAACTAGAAGCTTCAGGCTGCTGCATTTCAAAAGGTAAAATGAAATAGGCTTGTCAACTGAGAGCGCTGACCTAAATTTTTCAGTCGGGCTGAAATCTGTTTGTCAGAATCTAACCTGTCATCCCACAGCAAATAAGGAAGGGAAAAAAAAAAAAAAAAAATCAAACCCTCTCTCAAGGGAATGCTACAACCTCCATAAGTGATTCTGCCTCTCTACTCGGTTCTTTGGGGCAAGGGCACTCTTTGTTCTGTTCTCTTACAGCCTTCGTAAAAATGTTAAACTGATGCAAACCAATGAACTACAGGCTGGGAGACCATATATAGTTAACCTTGCAGGTACATTACAGCAGAAATTTAAATTATTCTTTCCCCAATAGCGAGAAATGGAACAGCCATTGCTCCAGTGACACGAGACTCTTCTTAAGTGTCAGAATGGTCCAATACTTCATCGGCTTATTTGAGAGAGAGGAGATTATGCTAGCTCAAGGGGTCCTGCCAATTCTGGCAGAAAAAACCCTGAGAGACAGTGGAAATTTCAATTCGGTGTTTAGCCAGTGTTCCTGAAAACTTCAACAATCTAAGATTTTAGTTGTCAATACATGCCAATGAGAGCTTCACCACTGCAGTGGGACTGGAGCTCTGAGACTACTCCAGAAGTCCTTAAGTTGGGGCCATTTTTTCTTTAGATGTTAGCAATTTAGGGCTGACAACTCACTGAAGGTGTAGAGGTGTATATATGGCCTGCCTTCTAATCACTGAAGGGCCATGCTGATTCTTCCCAGTAGAGGGCACTGGCATACCAGTACACTATAAATACAGAGCTGCTTAGAACCAAATACAGCAATGATTACTGCTGAGGTCCAAGGTAATTAAGTGCAGCCTTTCCTTGAGCTTAGATAATAAGCTTGCAAAAGACAGTAGCAGATGTTTTGCTCTTTTCACAGGATAATGGAAACCATCAGGAACCATCTTACCCATCTCTCAGGAACAAATAATGAAGCATCTATGCGATATAAACTAGGAAGTGGTGACAGTTATGACTGCCACCGATTGAATAATATCATTTGTTGCGGATGGCATGTTTAATTTGTGGGGCTTTTTGAAAAGCTGTACTTACAACATCCAGTTGCTATGGCAGTAGGTACGATAAAAATTAAGCCCATCTGGCTCAGTGGCATTTTCCATGCAATTAAACTTGGATCATAAGACATTTTATTACAGTCCAGAAGAAGAAGATGAAGTTTTACACAAAACTCAGCATAGAGCAATTCAATGGAGCCCAGTCTTCCTCCTCTTATTGTTACATTTGTGCTACAACTGGAGGTGTGACTGTTACCAAGCTAGTTCTGGTAATGGTGCTAGTGAGCACATGACCTCACGGGCTTTGACGCAGGCTAGCCATCCAAGGACATGCCCCGAGTCCCCTTGAAGGCCAGAACAGATAGGCTGTGCCAAAGCCTGTGTGACCATAACTTCATCATCATAGTTACCCAAGCTAGCTGGATTATAGGTAGCTCAGGGATACCTACAGAGATACCTCTCAATTACAATTAAGCCAGAGTCAAAAGCAACAGACCTGTTTAAGAGGGAGATAAAGAGAAACAAGCACTCCATGAATTAGTGTTTTTTATAACCATTATTACTCAACATGCAAAGAAACCAAAACGTGTCTGTTTTGGGGCCTTTTAGATCAAGGTGAGAGTAACTCTGCCACTGACAGAGACTAGATATTGGGCTCAAAGGACCAGTGGTCTGACCCATTATGGCATTCCATATGTTATTTTCTAAATGATTCAGGAGACAGTGAATCTCAACAAGTTCAGTGGGTCAGTTCAGAAAGGGAGATATCTGATGATCATCAGGAGCAAGCTTGAATCTCAACAAGGACAAGCTTTCTTGTAAGACTTCTGGAATTTCTGTCTCTGGTCTTGGTTGAAACTCCTCATAGAACAGCTTTTCTTGTGGCATTTCAAGTGCCTTACCTCTTGGCAGTTAGGGGATAAATACATTATACGGCCACTGGACACTTCAGCCCCTTACTATAGGCTTTGTTACCTGGTTTTAAGAATGGTCAGAGTTGATCTGATTTTTCTGAAGTTCTCTCAGCCCACATATTTTCAAAGACCTAATGGGTCCCTGAAAACTGAGTTTTCTGATATTTCTTATGTTCCCTTCTCCACCCCTCCACAGACACTTTGGGACAATAGTGTTAATGTTTTAGAGACCTATTATTTCAAACCTTGTTGAAGTTGTGAAGCACAAGGAAAAAGGAGGACATTCAGGCTAAAGGTGCCAGAAACAAATGTAGTTAGCAAGACTTTCTAAAGGGAGTTACCACAGTTCCTTGGGGGGACACAGTTCAACATGCCCCTGCCAAGTCAGCAAGCTAGCCAATAACACTAAAAATGTAAGAGACCAAAAAAAAAAAAACCCAACCCTCTACTCAACATAAACACCTCCACAACCTGCACTGTAAAGAGTATCCAGCTTTTTAATGATAGGTGCATCTACACGTGCAATTAATGCTACTCAATTTACTGCACAGTAAATTCAGGTGCATTAACTTGCTCCTAGGCACATGTCTACATGTGCACCTGGGCTGGGAGCAAATTGAGCCCGACAGGAGCAGCCTAGTCCAGGGCTGCTCCTGCTCTGCTCTGTCCCCCTGCAGCAGGCAGGGGGAACTCCAGGCCCTTTGGGTTGGTGCCAGCCCCGGGCTGGCAGGGGCCAGAGGGGAGCTGAGTACAGCTACCAGGGGCTTAGTTGTGGCCCCCTGCTGCCCGAGGTAACTGGGAGCAATTTGGTGCCAGTCAGTCAGGGTCTACACGTGTGCTTCAGTACATTAGTTTAAAGCTCCATTTTCTAGTACCTGTACATGTTGGTACCAGCAAACAGTGCTTTAAATTAATCTATTGCACAGTAATTGCTGTGCACATGTAGACAATGGCACTTTACTGTGTATTAGATTAGTCTAATGTGCAATACAATGCACATGTAGATGCACCCCGTAAGTAGTAAATCTACTGCCTCTCTGTCTCCTCTGCACTAATTCACTAGTGGAAGTGGTAGTGGTACAAATTGGGTAATTACTTCTGAAAGAAGCTAGAAGCTGTGCATCATAAACTTCCATGAAGCCATATAACAAGACATGAATCAAATTGAAAATTGAAGTGCTACCTTATTTGATCAGAAATACACTTACTTTTGAGTTTTTTTTAGGAAGGATTACATGAATCAGCTACCTACAAATAGCTGGTAATTCGAATTCTCCCTCCAATACAATGCCAATGAATAGTTTACTATTATAGGCAATTTGAGTTACTGAGTAATTAATTACTCTGATAGCTGGTATCCATTGCATCTTTTTACTACAACCCAAGAGAAAATCCATGCTGTGTTTTCCTCCTTCACAAGTCTGAGCTTAAAGAGCCACTTTACAAGAGTCTCATAGCTCTATATGGAAGAACATAGTAAGCCCATACATTTTACCTAAAATAGCTTGAGGAGATAGGCCAAATATTCCTAACCAGACACTTTGCATCATCGCTTTCAGAATTCTATAATAGCCATGTGGGTTACTTTTAGTACAACAGGCACTGACATCTTGCCCACATAGCCATTATAATTATGCCACTGAAAAAACCCCCTCATGATTTCTTTGAAATACCTCTATATGCTTATAAAAAGTGCTGTATGGAATTAGAGTATGCAAGATCTCGGGGCCCAATCCCGCACTGAGTACAGTGTAGACAGACTCCTGTGAAGGCCCAAGTGTAGGACTGAAGGCCCCGACTAGCTACGGTGCTGTACTAAAAGCTCTAGAGTTTTCATTTTCAGTATGATTCAAAGTAATCACTCAATTCTATTTCTGAATGCCCCACATGGATTTAGTTTACTTCAATGTAAGCTATACTGAAAGCAGAATCTGGCCCTGAATGGTGAACTGGAAGGATCTCTTGTATGGAGGAGCCCTGAAGCATTTACATACAACAAATCCTTGACACTAGCAACTCAAATTTTAGTTACTCTAGAACTCCCTGCTGCCAGGAAAATTAGGGAAAAGTTATGATACTTCAGGAGCTGATGCTAAATGTGTTAGTTGACAAGGCAGACATGTTTAATTGCTGTCAGAATGGAAGCATCCATTACTCCAACTATAGTCAATGGGATCTGTGAATACTCGGATAATCTGACTTCTATATAATGTCAAGGATTAAGAAGCATCTGGGAGAGGGCAAGCACAAGACATCCTCTATACTCCACAAGACTTGCTTGTGAACCTTTCTATTGTAGACGCAGCAAATATGTTTCTGTTCTTATAGCCACTATTGGTTCCCTAGAAAAAAAGTGCACTGTGCCAGCAAAAGCACTTCTGTGTTGGTATAAGTGTGCCTATACACTAGGGCTTTTGCCAGTATAGAAATAAAATCACCCCCTTAACTGGCATTATTACCCCAGCAAGAAAAAAAAAAAAAATCTAGCCCAGACCTGGCCTTAGTTAAATGTCCAGGCCATCTCCACACTTTTTAAAAATAGAACAGAAGATTAGACAGTGAATTTTTAAGGTAAAGAAAGAGATTGGCCCTTCCATTTCCTTTGGAAAAAAGGTTTTCACACCTCCTTCACGCATCGTGAAGAAGAGTACAAGTTCAACTTAACTCTCCACAGGTCACCTCTTGATGAACATACTAAGTTACACTCAGGATTAGCCAAGACTCTCATATATAAAGAGATAAAGCTGAAATTAAGGACGTTTTCCACTATGGCTTTCTGTAGCATATCCAGAAGTGCTTTGGCATTCAGCGCTCCATTGGTCACCTGTCACAAACCTTGTTTCTCAAATTCTTCAAAAAGGTTCAGACTGGTAATGCTAGGGCCAGTGAAGATGATGTAGTTTTTTCCTGATGCATTCTGACAAAGGCTCTTAGCCACCATACTGTGGAGCTGAGGCTTGTTCTTCAGAGCATCCAGTCCATCGGCACCACTTCCTTCTTTGAGATGGACGTAAATCTTAACAAGCAAGTAGAAACAAGAAAGAAAGGCATTATGGTTATTATGGCTCGGGAAGAAGCAAATGCAGATGTCAGTCCACCAGCTAGATTTCAGTGGAGGCAAGCTGAAAATAAAGACTGTAGATAACTATTTAAATGCCCAATACACCTGTCAAGGGAGCACTGCACTGTCTTTAAATGACTTTGGAATAGCAGCTGGTATAACAAAGGGAGAGAGAGAGATCCTTGTCTAGACTCAAGGGCTTTCTGGGGTCAGGGTTGCTACCGTGAAGCTGGAAATAAAAGCATTGTCTTGATGCAGTAAACCTCTACTCTTAGAGATGCTGCTGTATTGATTTTGCACAGGCTTACGTTTGTCAGTAAAAGGCGATGTTGGGCCTTTGTGTTCCAAAAACATGGGCCTTTACAAGAGGACCAATGAAACTGTCCATTAGCTGAATAGTATTCAGATTTATAATCTCTTCAGCTGCCATTAGAGGGTGATGTGACCACACACTCATGCCAGAACGACACATTCTTCCATATATGTCAGCTGTCCATGTCCACAGCAGTCAGTATGTTCTACCTCAACCTCAGTACTGTTCTAGCTTAGTTCTTTTGTACAGACCTCTGATTTGAAGGTAAGCCACTAAAACACAGCGAACAGGCAGTCAGGGTGCTTTGAGCTACTTTTAACAGTTAAATTGTCCTTCCTAGCTGGCTGGGACAAATCAGATTGTGTTGCTGTCATAGCAACTTAAAGCTAACCATTACCATTGTCCAGTAAATGTTTCTGCTGTACTCATAACACCTGGTGGTCATCCACAGCAGGCCACAAATACTTATGTGCAGTAGCAGGAAAGGTTTGTTCCCTGATAACAGTTAACGATAGCCTCCGTCATTGTATGGATAGGTACATACAGTACAACAGTCACCCTTGTTGATGCTCTGAGAACACATACAAAGAGGTGAAATTATCCTCTCTCTCCTACAGGCAGTTGGTCTGAAAAAAGGTTATGGCACAGTAGGTAAATAGGGAGTAGCATTCTTTGTACAGAAGACTCCAGGTTTCATTTAATTCACAATATTTGGAAGCATAACTTTTAGTGCATCTAAATGCTTAAACAAAGAAAGGACACAATTTAGCAATCCTGCTAAATATAAGCCACACACACTTCTTCTCATCTGGCCACCCTAACCTTCACCCAGAAGTCTAAGGCAATAAATGAGGTTTACAGCAGGCTTCCCATGTCAACAATCAGGGACTCTGATGGAATTACTCCTCCTTTTGGTTCAAAAGTTGAAGACTTCTCAGAAAAATGTAACCTTGCCATCTATCCTGCATTTCTGTAAAAGGGATATTAGCTCTCACTCCTTAATGGATCAAACCGGTGGGGATATGAACAGAAAGACTAGATACTTCCCAAATTCCAGGAACTGCCTAGCCAGCATCTTCTATGAGTATTACAGGGTTTGTTTGTTTTTAAAAGAATGATCTCTGTACCTGATTCTCCTTTGGCTCCTGATGTCAGCTAAAAGTAAACTACAAATAAACTACAATTTTTAGGAGGAAGCAGAATTCTGCCTCCCTGCCTTTTCTCCATTCCTTATGATTTATAACCTTCTCCTCTGTGAAGAGCTCCAGGGGTCTGATTTAAATATTCTTAAATTAAACAACATTTTCAAGAAATCAACATACGTTAGATAAAAGGCCTTTTGGGAAAAAATTTCCAGAAATGCTTGAGAGAGTGAGAAGCCCAGATCTTAAACTCAGTGGGCACATCTTCACATGCAATTAATGTGCCTGAATTTATTGCACAGTAAATTGAGGTGCATTAAACTGCTCGTGGGTGCATGTCTTTTCGTGTGCCCAGACTGGGAGCAAACTGAGCCTGACAGGAACAGCCTAGTCCAGGGTCGATCCTGCCCTGCTTTGCCCCGTGCAGCAGCCAGGAGGAGTTCCAGGCTCCCGTGGGTTGCAGCCCCAGGCTGGCAGGCACTGGGACAGCCCAGCGCTGGTAGGGGGCACAGGGGCTAGACCTGGGCTCTGGGGGGAAGCTGTCCCCACTCCAGGGGCAGCACCCAGCTGTAGGGAGCTTGAGGCCAGCCCTGAGCTACATACAGCTGAGAGGTGCCCCCAGAACTGGGACAGCTTCCCACTTCCCTCTGGAGTTTGGGGCTGGTCCCAAGCTCCACACAGCTGAAAGCTTCCCTCAGAACCATGGCAGCTGCCCCTCCCCGGCCCCCCCAGAGCTTGGGGCTTAGCCAGGCAGCAGTTGTGGCCCCCTGCTGCCTGAGCTTCCCGGGAACAATTTGCTCCTGGTTAGGGTCTCTGTGTGCACTTCAGTGCATTCGTTTACAGTGCTGTTTTTTAGTACCTGTATCTGTTAGCAATAGCAAATGGCACTGTACATTAATCTACTGTGCAGTAATTGATGCACACCTGTAGACAGTGAGGCTTTGCTGTGCATTAGATTAATCTAATGTGTAGTAAAGTGCACACATAGAAGTGTGCGGTGAGACTTAAGGTCTGAAGTCATTTAGGTGTGTTTGAAATTTTTACTCTTAGCTAAGAGCAAAGGCTGAGACTCAAAGCTACAGAGGGGTGAGGGTAAGCTGTAGAACTTATATGTTTAAACTTGAATGACATTTCCAGGTCTTGTTAGTAGCACTGGAAAGTCTCAGCACAAATCCCCAAAGCTAAGTACAGACAGTCAAAAAGTGGGAGACTGAATCGATTCATAGTTTCTAGGGTCGGAAGGGACCTGAGCAGATCATCTAGTCCGACCCCCTGCCATGGCAGGAAAGAGTACTGGGGTCAAATGACCCCAGCAAGGTGTTCATCTAACCTCCTCTTAAAAACCCCCAGGGTAGAAGCCTGCACCACTTCTCTTGGAAGTTGGTTCCAGACCCTAGCCGCCCTGACCGTGAAATAGCGCCTCCTGATGTCTAACCTAAACCTACCCTCTGCCAGCTGGTGACCGTTATTCCTGGTCACTCCTGGCGGTGCTCGGGGGAACAGGGACTCCCCCAGCGCCTGCTGATCCCCCCTGACTAGTTTATAACAGGCCACAAGATCCCCCCTCAGCCTTCTCTTCTGGAGGCTGAACAGGTTCAGGTCCCGTAGCCTCTCCTCATAGGGCCTGCCCTGCTGTCCCCTGATCATGCGAGTGGCCCTCCTCTGGACCCTCTCCATGCTGTCCACATCCCTCTTGAAGTGCGGCGCCCAGAACTGGACGCAGTACTCCAACTGCGGCCTGACCAGTGCCGCATAGAGGGGGAGGATCACCTCTTTTGACCTGCTTGAAATGCATCTGTGGATGCATGACAAGGTACAGTTGGCCTTCCTAACTTTCAATCTTTACAGGTTAGTCTACGCTGCATACATTGAACAGATAAGCAAGTGACCAGACATTCACTTTTAATTCCAGAAATGTAGCCACATGCCCACAGTGACTAGGGCTGTGCAAAATTTTGCCACCAGTTTTGTTTCGATGCTGTTTTGCCCTGTTTCAAGGTCGAAACAGCAAAATCAAAATGAAACAGATATGGTCGAAACAGCCTCGAAATGAAACAAGGCAAGTCGAAATGTTTTACTGTTTTGACATTCTGCCCATAGGCTATAATGAGGAAGGTCAAAACAGCCTATAACTTTGTCATTTCTGGACAGATTTGGATAAAACTTGCAGAAATCGTATCCCCTTCTGAGGGCATAAAGTGTGTCAAGTTTCAAGAAGATAGGTGCAGGGGGTTTGGAGAAACTGCACCCCAATATCTTGAGAGCCAGACTTGTGTCATGTGTATGTGTTAAGCCACAGCAGGGTCAAAACTGCAGGCATGCTAGCCCCTGTTGAGGGCACAAAGTCTTCCAAGTTTCAAGGAGGTAAGTACAGGAGTTTGGGGGAAGTACCCCTCAAGCTGTGGACAAACAAAACTCGTGACATGGGTGACACTGCGTGTATTAAGGTGCAGCAGGATGAAAGCTGCAGGCCTGCCAGCCCCTGCTGAAGCCATGATGCCTACCAGCTGTCGAGGAGATCAGTGCAGGGGGGTTCTGG